GTGTCAGCGCTCAGTCCTCCTCCTTTTATAGTGCGCGAGGGATGCTGGATGCTCCCCTCTTTTATTCTTCTGCGTCATAGCTGGAAGCCGGGGTATCTCGTAGCTTGACACGCCTTATGCACCGTTGAAGTGCCTCGGTGTTTGCGACATCAAGCCTTGCGTGACTCCGATGCTAGACTGATATTTTTGTCTAGACTGAGAACTTTGTCCAGACTGAGAATTTTGTCCAGACTGGAATATTTGTCTTGACCGCGAATTTTGTCTTGACTGGAACTTTTGTCTTGACTGGAATCTTTGTCTTGACAGATGATTTTGTCCAGACTGAAGCTCTTGTCTTCATTGCAACTCTTGCCATGATTTATACTTCCACGCCTTGCATGCACCCTGATATGGGTCATCCATGCATGGCTGAATATTGTCTTCATGCAACTTGGATGAAGGGTCTTGTCTTCAATTAACTCCTTGATCTTTCCCGATACGGATGTTGCATGGCTGCTTGTTGCATAATTATTCTTGCTACCATTATTATTATTATTATTATTATTATTATTATTATTATTATTATTATTATTATTGTTATTGTTATTGTTATTATTATTATTATTATTATTATTATTATTATTATTATTTATTTATGGGTATGGGTCTACCCCACCCATATTATTGATAATACCTTATCAATATTTCGAATTCTATCAATATTCGGGCACCCATAAAAATAAAAATAAAAAAATAATAATTATCGTTCTGGAGATACAATTCTCGGGCCTTCAGGAGATACAATTGTCGTTCTGCTGGTGATGCGGACGGCCACACGAGTCCTACTATAGCTGTGGTAGTAGCTGAGGGAATCAAGCACGAGTGCGTGCAACTGTCTGGGCAGATGATAGCACACGAGTGCGTGCAACCGGGGAGGCGCAAAGCCAAGCGACCCAACTAACCCCCACTCGACCGGACGGTAGACGTACGTGGCACACGCGCCATCCATGCATCTCCTGCCCCGGCATTCGTGGCCCTCCATCTTCCCGTCCAGCTGACCAAATCACTTCTCCGCATTTCCCCTACCAACCCTTCCCGCCTAGGAGTATATATCCCTTTCCCCACACCCGTATCACCACACCGCACCAGTATCTGTCACACTCATCTCCGCCTCCAGCCGGCCACTGTTGAGCTAGCTAGTCGATCAGCCGCTTGTAACGTACGTGTAGATCAATGGCGGCGACGATGACGGTGGAGGAGGTGAGGAAGGCGCAGCGGGCGGAGGGGCCGGCCACGGTGCTGGCCATCGGCACGGCGACGCCGGCAAACTGCGTCTACCAGGCCGACTACCCGGACTACTACTTCAAGATCACCAAGAGCGACCACATGGCCGACCTCAAGGACAAGTTCAAGAGGATGTGTAAGCTCAATCAATTCCATTCCATTCCATTCTTCTTTGCCGTCTCTTTTATGACTTCTCTCGGACGATGGACACGCGACCTAACGAACAAACTATGCTTCATTTCATGTTCAGGTGACAAGTCCCAGATCAGGAAGAGGTACATGCACCTGACGGAGGAGATCCTGCAGGACAACCCCAACATGTGCGCCTACATGGCGCCCTCCCTGGACGCGCGCCAGGACATCGTCGTCGTGGAGGTCCCCAAGCTCGGGAAGGCGGCGGCGCAGAAGGCCATCAAGGAGTGGGGCCAGCCGCGTTCCAAGATCACCCACCTTGTCTTCTGCACCACCTCCGGCGTCGACATGCCGGGCGCCGACTACCAGCTCACCAAGATGCTCGGCCTGCGCCCCTCCGTGAAGCGCCTCATGATGTACCAGCAGGGCTGCTTCGCCGGCGGCACCGTGCTTCGCCTTGCCAAGGACCTCGCCGAGAACAACCGCGGCGCGCGCGTGCTGGTGGTCTGCTCCGAGATCACCGCGGTCACCTTCCGCGGCCCGCACGAGTCCCACCTCGACTCGCTGGTGGGTCAGGCGCTCTTCGGCGACGGTGCAGCCGCCGTGATCGTCGGTGCGGACCCCGATGAGTCCGTCGAGCGCCCCCTATTCCAGCTGGTGTCTGCGAGCCAGACGATTCTACCGGACTCGGAGGGCGCCATCGACGGACACCTCCGGGAGGTTGGCCTCACCTTCCACCTCCTCAAGGATGTGCCCGGGCTCATCTCCAAGAACATCGAGCGCGCCCTAGAGGACGCCTTCAAGCCAATTGGCATCGATGACTGGAACTCCGTCTTCTGGATGGCGCACCCCGGCGGGCCGGCAATCCTTGACATGGTGGAGGCGAAGGTAAACCTGAACAAGGAACGGATGCGCGCCACCAGGCATGTCCTCTCCGAATATGGCAACATGTCCAGCGCCTGCGTGCTCTTCATCATGGACGAGATGCGCAAACGCTCTGCCGAGGATGGCCACACCACAACGGGCGAGGGAATGGACTGGGGCGTTCTCTTCGGCTTCGGCCCCGGTCTCACCGTGGAGACGGTCGTCCTCCATAGCGTCCCCATCACTGCCTAGGCCAGCGCATGATCATTCATTCTCCATTTATCGTCGTCATGAAATAATCTACTACTGTTGCTGCTACACCCAAGTTTGGACTCTATTCTGTTGTATGAGGTTTGTAAGTACTAGAAGAGTAGGCGCGTTTCTTTCCTCTGTGCTACATACACCCTGTTTATTGTTGAGATCGTTGTGGTATATATGAACTGTTGATCTACATGATTGAAAGTAACCAATTACGTTTCTGATGAAACCTAAGAATCAAGCATTGATCCAATTTGACTACCCCTACGGGATAGACCTCAACAAGAAAACCGTTGAGTAACGGCACGGAGTGAATGAGTTTAGTAATTCCCAAGAAATTATTGACTCTATAGATACGGTAATATGGACAAGATAAAATTGTTCGAAGCACTCGCAGAAGCGGAAGCGCCCCTTATTTCAAAGAGAGGACTCGCAGAAGCGGAGGCGCCACTTATTTCAAAGAGAGGATGACGGGTTATTCACATTTAATTTGATGGCCACAGGCAGTGGTTGATGCGTTGGACGTTCTCTGTGTGGGCCTAGTCGTATGACAACGGCCTTCGTGAAAACACCCGTGGTGGCATTTCATTTCCACATTTGAAGAACAATCATCAAATAGGCTAAAACAGTGAGATATTTATTGGGATGGAAATAATAAGATATACTCCACCTTTTTGTCAAGCAATCGCACTTTGAGAGCCTATCAACGTCCAAGGTTTGTCGCCGCAAACCTCGAAGCCTTCTTCGCAGGGGAGCCTTTGCTCAGCCCCGCGCAGCTCTGAAACAAGAGCACCATTGGTTGATTGGATAAAATTGGTCTGCGATCATCCACTCTTGTGCTCTTGTGATCAATCGGCCTGAATGAAGTGCAATCTGCAGAAATAATATGCTCATGACTTTACCAACCAGAGGAATGCTGCACAAATTTGCTTCTTGTGTTCTGAATGTTCATGTGAAAAAAATTGTACAATGGCAACAGAAGGCTAAACAGAGAGTAGTACTAGAAGAAGCAACTCCACTACTTTTGGCGGCACTATTTCTGATTTCTGCAGTGGTTTGCCTTGCATGTTCATCTATTTTCTGTATCTCTTTTCTCATGGTGAGCAGAGACCTCACTGGTATCAGCTCCTGCAATGCGTGTCCGTGTAAATAGAGCAGCAGGCACCGTGTCACACATCTGCACATACTCCGCAATCAACAAAAGTTGTGGTGCACTTTTGCTAACTTGCGCTCACTGCGCTAGAGAATCAGCATGCACCGGAGTGAGCAATGGCTGACCGGAGAAGAAGGCTTCAAGGTTGCCAATGGTGTGCAGACACAGGTCCGACCTAGACTCCTCCGTCAACACCGCCACGTGGCGCGACAGAACCACATTCTCCATGGTGAACAGCTCCGCCGGCACCTTTGGCTCGTGCTCGAAGACGTCAAGGCCTGCGCCTGCTATCTTCCCCTCCCTGAGTGCAATGACCAGTTCTGCCTCGTCGGTGTTTGCTCCTCGGCCGATGTTGACGACCACACCGTCCTTTCCTAGGGCCTCCAGCACATCCTTGTTCACGATGTGCAGTGTCGCCTTGTTCAGTGCGCACGCGACAACGAGCACGTTAGATTCAGCAGCAAGATCATGGACATTTGGGAAGTATTTGTAAGAGACTGAATCCTTAGGTTTTCTCGAGTTGTAGTGGATGACGCAGCCGAAAGCTTCAAGCCTCTTTGCAACCCGTGAGCCGATGTTCCCCAAGCCGATGATGCCAACACGCTTACCACCAAGCTGAGACCATTAAAATAACACCAACAACATTGTATTAGTTTTTAGTGCCAAAGGAATAAGAAAAAAAAACATGTCTTTGCACCATAGACATACATGGTGCCAATTACTGAATGAAGAGAGCACAAAAAAAGTGCGCAATACATGGCTTTCTGAGGAAGTAGCAGTAGAGCAGTGTAGCACGCCAATAGGTCTTAGACAACACACAAAAAAAGAGACCAACTAAACCTCTGACGATGAAGCAGAGGACATACAGAAGAATACAACCTTCGGTTCATCCCAGGATGAATGCGCTGGTTAATTCCATGCTTGTGTAAGTCATATCTTCGGTTCATACCTTTGGTTCATATCTCACAAGGAGTATGTGTAATCTATACACTAATCGATATTACCCTCATGAAGCTTGCAGCATTAAATTGCTAACTGAACCCGGACAGACATTCCCTCTCCCCTGACCCGCTCCCTCTATCTGCAGGTAATCTCCATCGATTTCCAACCTGAGTTTCTTAATCGGTACTAGAATCATAGAAGCGGTTAAACAGCAAAGATGCCGCTGCAAATGCCTTCTCAAATAATTCACTTCAGCGTCTGTAACAAGTGCATTTGCCATAAATAAATTTGGATAGAAGCTGCTCACTCACAAAATTAACTTCCCTCTGTGTGACTGCACGACACAATGGATTTGGGTTGCTTGGTATTGGAAACATTAGGATGTCTAAGAGGATAGCTAGCTGTTGGGTTTGTGATACGTACTCATCATGTTAACCTTCAGAAATTGACAAAATTGAACTGGGTCTGAGAGTCTGTGAACCCCTAATTCAGTTTGTGAACGGTCTGCTCCGACTCAAAATAATTCTTGTTTCAATCTCTCCAAGCAACTGCTCTGAATTTCTCTCAAGCTTCGAGAATCAGAAACATAATAATGTCAGTTTACAGAAAGCCAAACAGGAGGCAGGAACCGGACCTTAGATCCGAGAGGATAGTCCCCCTGCGCCGGCCAGGACCCGCGCCGGACGTAGCGCTCGGACGCCGACACGCGCCGGAGCACGTCGAGAAGCAGGCCGACGGCGTAGTCGGCCACGTCGGCGGAGTAGACCTCCCCGGAGTTGGCGACGGCGACGCCGCGGCGCGCGCACTCGGCCAGGTCGATGTGGTCGAGCCCCGCGGCCGTGCTGACGACGCAGCGGAGGGAGGGGGCGGCGTCGAGGAACGAGGCGTCCACGCGCACGCCTCCCCAGATGACCATGGCGCGCGGGGGCTCTGGCACGGCGGCGGCCGCGGCGACGAAGGCCAGGGCCGGGAGCGCCTGCCCCGGCGCGTACAGGTCAAGGACGTGGAAGCGGTCGCGCAGAGCGGCGGCGAAGGGCGCGTCCACCGGACGGAGCAGGAGGACGTGCGGCTTGGTCTCGCCGCCGCCGGACGCCAAAGTTGCGAGCTTCATCAGACTTCCCTTTCTGTTGGTCTTTCCATGTCCACACCTAACCTCAGCACCTTTCCTTTGTCTCTCCAAAAATAGTAAAACTTACAGTTAATGTAAGCTGTTAACTCTAGAAAAGGGAAATTTTTTGTTTTTCCCACTTTAGCTTTTGCCAATTTTTCATATGCCACTCTAGATTCTGATATTTCTCTTTTGCCACTATTAGCTTTTTGACAATTATCACAATTGCCATTTCGTGGCAAAATCAAAATTTCAGAAATGCTAAGTGTGGCAGTTTGCTATGCTAATTATTATGCATTAGCTGTTGATGATAGGTTGCAAGAGAGCTTTATTTTAGAAAAAGAAGAGTAAAACCCTCAATGTCTAATCGATATATATATACTCATATGACGCTTGTAGCATTATATTGCTAATTAAGACTGGAGAGACATTCCCTCTCTCTCTCTCTCGCATTACATTGTAATTGCGTAATGTGTACCCTGAGTTTCCTAATGTGTACTAGAGTCATAGAAGCGGTTAAGCAGCAAGGGTACTGCCGCCGACGCCTTCAAAAATATTCAGTTTAGAGTCTACAGCGGTTTGGACTGATGGTGATGTGGAGCTGTTACGGACCTATGCAATGGATTTGGGTTGATTTCGTCGTATTGGAAATATTAGGATGTCAACAGGATAGCTAACAGTTGGGATTGTTATGTCGATGTTAACCTTCAAGAAAGTGACAAAAAGGGAACTGTAAATCAATCATGTGTTGTCTCCACCACTTTTCTGTGATCCTAGCAATGACAGGCGTGTTAGGCTAGAAATTCCACCACACCGCTACACCACCAACCCTGTGCGTCGCACCGTCGCCGGCAAATTGACTGAAGCGAAAGCCGCCAAAACCCACAGTGGAGTCTTCCGGCTACATCCCGCAACCTTGCTAGTTCAGCTGGTGCTATCATAGTCATATTTGAAGTAGAAATCCTCCCAGATCAAACACCCAACGAAGAAGTTCCCCAATCTGATCGGATATGACCACCAGCGAGAAAGGGAGCGACTAGCCCCGACACTCACAAGCAGCCCGCCTGCGCCCCATCCAGGCCAGATATGCTCCCTCTCTCTCTCTCTCTCTCTCTCATTGCAATTCTTCCTCAACTCTTATTCGAATTGAAAGGGTTTTAATAATTCAATAAAATCAATTTTTTAAAGAAAATAAAAGACTATTTTGATTCCTATATAAGTCTTATGCAGTACTAGAATATTACTCCCTCTTGTCTTTTTTACTCCACATAGAAGATTTGTTCGAAGTCAAATGTATATGGAGAGTAAAAAGGGCCGGAGGAAGTTTTTTTCCCTTCATGTTGTGCTTCGTAATCTTCTTGCTTATCATTAGCACATCTTTTGAAACTTTTTTAGAAAGAATCCACTTCTCTCAAAGGATGGAACATTTTGGGCAGTGTGCCAGAGATAAAACGTGTGATGGCCGGCCTGTATGCAGAAAGTGCAGGCGCACAAGTTTAGGGGAGAAGTGAATTTATAGGTTAGCCCATACCGTCTTGGAGTAGCACCTGCCACATGGTATGAGCTCTAGGACATTCCGATTGCATGCACATGCTCCGGCCAAGATTGAACGTCGAAATAACAATACTAGCAAACGTTGAAATGGAAGAGCAGAAGTACAGCAACAAACCGATTGAAACTTGCAGACACGACTGACTGACTGACTGACTGACCGACTGACTGGATACATGCAAACCGGAGACATGACACACTCAAAAGTGCAAGCCGACGGCGACGGGGCACCTCCACCGCCACGCTCCCTCCAACGGCGAGGCCATCAGGATTCAGGAGTGAGGCCTCGCCATCAGGATCCAAGTCCGCCGCCATCACCTCTGCCCTCCTAGACCGACGGCGAGCCTGGCGAGCACATCCGGCGCGAGGCACGTGTCTGGTCCACTAAGGGCATGGAGCTGCAGGTGTGCTGGCCATTCCGTTGAGAGGGAAGAAGGACCAGACCACACGCGGGATGCAGACCGTGCCGGTGACCCCGGGCGCTACGGCGTGGACGAACTCGGCGCCCTTCTGGACGTAGTCCACGAGGAGCTGCTGCAGGTCCCATGGGGTCAGGTGGACGGTCTCAGGCTCCGGCGGCCGTGAGCTCTTCGGGAAACGATCTGGACAGCGCCGCCTTCTATTTTTGATCGCCGGATGAGCGGTGGCCACTATGGAGGATGTGAGTTTGAGCTCGATCGTTTGTGTTCTGTGGGTTGGGGTGGCCGGGTTGGAGTACTGTATATATTGAGGGAGGCCATGTGAGCCATTCTTCGTGGAGCACGAGCGTGCTTCAGTAAACCATACAAGAAAATTAGTAGCATGAGCGTGTCCCAGCACAACGGCAAAGATCTGGAGCACATGTGTATAGAAAGCACATGAAGAAAATAAGCAATTACTAGCACAGATCTGGAGCAGATGAGCACAAGCGCCATGTGCTCCGGCATGTCCGGCCGTTCAAATCAGAGATGCCCCTTCTGGTCAGATCGAGGGGTAATCTGTACTACAGCATATATCCGGCAAAGCACATGATCCTATCACTGTATATATATATATATATATATAGTTGTTAGTTGCCGATATGTTACCATTCTGTAATTTGTTGTACACGATTTCATCAGATCAGATTTTTTTTCTCTTAACATATCCACATTAGCTAAATGACGGTCGAATGAATTTTAAATTGGGGTCAGTCGATTTTGAGAGTTCGCCGGAGGAAAGGAAGGAGAAAGAAAAGGCTCGCCAGAGGGCTACTCCATCATCTACATTAGGGTTAATACCGGACACGCGCGGGGCTAGATGGCCTGGGCCAGCGGCAAGACCGGCGAGGCTAAGCGTGAGCGCTGCCGGCTGCGAGTGATGGCCGCAGGCGGATCGGCCGGTAGCCTGTGTGGCAGCCTGGGAAGAAGAAGAAGAAGCTGGTGGAAGAAGAAGGCTGTCCACTGTTTGATCTGCATCCAACGGACAGAATCAATCGACTTGGCCAAATTTGAAAATCGAACGACTGACGTGTAGCCATTCCATCCCAAAGTGAGCTCTGGCAGAGGCATTCGTATCCAGATAATTTTATTACTTTATTACAGCAACAAACTTGACGCTGGGCATCAGGATTATCACTAGTTTTACTACAGCACACAAGATACGGCATTTTAAACAAGATAAAAGCACCGGAACCAGCAGGCTCTCCGTCGGCGAGGGCAAAACCTCCGCTCCGGCGCCATCATCTCTCAGCTGAGCTCCTAGACGGACGTGCTCATCAGCTCTTCGTCGGCGACGAGCCTGGCGAGCACATCAGCAGGGAGGCACACCTCCAGTTCCATGCCGCCGGCCTCTCCGCCGGCCTCGAAAACCGTGATCAGCCCGTCCTCCTTGTCCCCCGGCCCAGTCCGGACGCCCACCGGCCTGCCCCACCCAAAGTCGTTGCCATACACGTCGAACCGCGGCGAGCCGCTCATCATCACCGCCGCAGGATCCCCATCGCGGCCATCCACGCCCACGTGGCTGAAGCTGGGGTTTCGAGGCCAAGCCGCGAGCTCGGCCCTCACGCTCGCCTCGTCGACCGACGCCACGGCGCGGTTCACGAGCCACGCCGTCCGGCCCAGCCGGCCTTCGCCCAGGATCTCGCCGACGGGGTGCCTGGCTACTCCACTTGTCAAGGCGTTGCCCATGTAAGACTCCGGAATGCCCTTCACCCGCGCCCGGCATCCCACGGGGAGCGTGAGCTTCGCCTCCACGTCCGGCCCCAGCACCCGGGCGCGGCACACCGCTCGCCATAGGTGCGCGAGCACGGCCTGCAGCGAGGAGATGGGGGCCGTGGCCGTGGCCGTGCCGGCCATCTCGGCGTTCGCCTTCGCCTTCAGCTTCTTTATGCTCTCCGGGGAGAAATGGATCGAGCATTCCTGCACCGGCGGGTACTCGAAAGGCGTCGCCATGTCCTGCACCTTGGTGAAGGGAAGAGGGATCGGCACGGGGCAGCCGTCGGGGAACCACCTCTCGAGTGGCGGCGCCGCTGTGGATATGTCACTCTTGTTTCGGCTGATCTCCGACCACGTGTTGAAGAGGTCCCAGAACGTCGTCCAGTCGGCGGCCGCGTGGCTGAGCGACATGCCGACGAAGACGCCGTCGGCGAGCTCGGTGACCTGCGAGGCCAGGAGCGGCCGGCTGGGGTCAGCGGCCGCGTCCGTGCTGAGCATCCCGTTGAGAGGGAAGAAGGACCAGACGACGCGCGGGATGACGCGGAGCGGGCCGGAGATGTCGGCCACGGCGACCCCGGGCGCCGCGGCGTGGACGAACTCGGCGCCTTCGTCGCCGCAGCGGAGCGAGATCGTCAGGCTGTCGGCGCTGCCCGCTGGCGCGACGGCAAAGCGGCCGGCAAGGGGGTGGAAGCGGCCCAAGGCGCGCGCGAAGGACGACGCGAGGTGTTCGACGGCGTGCATGCCGGCCGGAGGCTTGGGCAGGAGGACGCCGTTCTGGCTGTAGCCCATGGTGATCCGCCGGAGATCCCATGGCGTCAGGTGGACGGTCTCAGGCTCCGGCGGTGGTGAGCTCTTTTGATACTCCGGCTTGACCATGCGCCGGGAGATGATCTGCACACCGCCGTCTTCCATTTTGATCGCCGGATGAACAGTGGCCTCTATGGAGAATGTGAGTTCGAGGTCGATCGTGCGTCTTGTGTGGGTTGGAGTGAGGGGTATATATTGTGTGGAGTGGAGGCCTTTATTCGCCCATGTGGAGCACGAGCGTGTGCTTCAATATAACCATCTCTATCACTATATCTTATGTTATCACCTCCCGCCTATATACCCAACCCTGCTTTTTTTTGGAAACTTTCAATCAATTCATTATGTCATGGCAGTATAAAAAACACAGAAATAACAAAACATTCATGTTCGTGAACCATCCAACGACGACTACAAACACTGAAGCGAACTATAGGCATTGCCGCCGTCATCGTCCATATGTCACTAGAGTTGGGCTAGACTTATTATGATAGACAGTCAGGAAGTTGTCATGCTGAGACCTCGCGGGACCAGCACACTTAAACGGCACTCGTCGCCGATGAAGAGAAGTACATGCAGACACACAGATGAAGATGAACCTCTCCGTGGAAAGCCTACCCCTTCCACTCCACTAAAGGAAACACCGCCCACTTTCAGTTATTATTTACTTTTTTTTGCGGGGTCAGTTATTATTTACTTGTGGCCTCTTGTTCCCTAGTTCCATTACTTTCCGTTACATTTGCTCTTCAACTACAACTATCTCAAGTCCTGCAGATACCATACTAATCAATTCACTCAAGACTAGTGACACCTTGATTTTTCAAATTCATTTCAGATTTTTCAACATATCCTTTGCGTGAGAGACGATGTTCTTATCGACTACTAGGCACCTACGAGCTTAATCTTGGATGCGTGCATGTGAAAGGAGAACCAACAAATACCACAGAGCACATACCAAATTCGAAGTCGTTTTGCAGCCTGATTTTATTATTTATAGAAGATTGTCAGACTAAAACGTGGCACAACTGAATGATTGGCAGGAACTAAGATCAACGACCACTGTGCCTGAAAATCCTCTCTGCTGCTGCCTCTGTCCTGACTGTCGCTGCTCATTTTGAGATCTTGGCGCTCAGCTCCCGGACCAGCTTCGCGGCGACCATAGCCGTCATCCCGTCGACCGTGTCGCGCTGCGGGTTGAACTCCACCACATCTCCGGCGACGACATCGCCTTGCAGATTCTGGAGGATGTTGAGCACGTCGCGAAATGAGAGGCCTCCCGGCTCGATATGAGACACGCCAGGAGCGAATGCGGGGTCGAGGCAGTCCACGTCAACGGAGACATACACCCCCTTCACACCTTCCCCAAGTTTCTGCCAAAAGCAGTGAAGAACAATCATTCAAGAAATTCATATCATTTTGGTGATAAAGTATTCGACTGAAGGAGTACAGGAAAGAAAAACACAAGGTTACTACTGCACATTGTGTTGAATTAAAATGAGCAAAGAATGGTCTATGATGAATTTTGAATACCAACAGAGGTAGATAATACCAAATGAAATTAATAGGAAGAACTGAACCATAGGACACATCAATATGAACTGTCCTCGTGATAAAATGAATAACTGACAAAGACAGACATGTATGAAATGATGTGGTTTATGTTAGTGAGTTACCAGATTCTCAAGCTTCTCCCGATCTCTGGAGAAGGTGCGCATCTCATACTGTTCCACACCAAATCTCTTCCCTTGCTCACGTCCTTCTTTGGTAATTGATCTAAGTCCAACCTGAAATGCATCAAAATCAAGGTAAAGACGCAGAAGCAGGGTAGAAGCAGAGTTGCACACTACTGACTGCAGAGCACCAAAAGGTTAGTCCAGGGACAGTACAAAAAAGTTCTAAAACTCCCAGCCGGTAAAATCTTTGTAACACCTTATAACCATTATTTCAACCTTGATACAACTTATTGATGTTAAATCATCATAAAATGTTTTGCAACGAATAAGTTACCAACATGTTTCATTTGGGATTCAGAACTCAGACATGAAAAAACAGAGTTACCTGCAAAAGTCGCCTCGCATAACCTCCTTCCATTATTCTTGCAAATGAAGAAGCGTGTGAGTAAGTGTTGCCTTCAAAACAGTCATAGATATCTGGATGTGCGTCAAGATGAAGAATGTCAACAGGTCCGCCAAGCTTTTCAGACACAGCCCTAACAACTGGATAAGATATCGAGTGATCGCCTCCTAAGACCAACGGCCGAAGAGGATCCTATACAACGACGTGTCATAGTTAAATATGTGAAGATCTTCAAAAATTATTCTGCTTCAGCTTAGATAAGAAATCCCAGCAAACTTCACCAGATTCTGATGTTTTATAATACAGTACTGAAATGTTTGGATATGCTGAAAGAAAAATTCTGAATCAAACACGATGGGACACTATATATACTTACTTCGTCCATTACTGTTTTGACAGACTCGCTGATTACATGCATCAATCTGTCATCTTCAACACCACAGTCACGAATCTCTTGTATGGGGACATCACCGACATCAGTTAGCACCCTTGGATCATTTAATTCCTTGCCTGCATAGCATGAACTCCATAACTGTTTCTTTGATAAATGTCTCTTGCGTACAAGGTACTAGCATGTTGATAATATTAAGTTTACCTTCTTCTGTGCTAGAGTTGGTGCTTCCACACCAAATGGCCTCCCTTATGCGAGGAGGAGCAAACGCAGGCCCCTGCAAGAAAGACGAGTTGTGCCCAAGGGGTACTCCTAAGAGTGTTGCAGAAGCTTTGACACCGCCCATAGCACGCAGCAGCTCGCCCTACATCCAAGCATGAGTAAAGTCAGGACTCAGGACTAGTAGAATTCTCATAACTCATAAGTGTATTGTATTCTAACATGAAGCCGTAACCTAGCCGCAAACTTATCCCATTTCACTTATTAGATCACGTGGTAGGAATGTACAACTGTTGTAAACATCAACAAGCCTAGGGTTTTAATGATAAATTTGAACAAATCAAGCATTTCCTAAAAGAAGCAGGGGGAAGTTACTATTTGAACATAACTTTTGCCCAACTCCCTTTGCCTTTTTTCAGGTGTGGTATTAGTACAGAAGTTCTATATAATAGACCAGCTGCCTCAAAGAAGGAACACCAGAGTAAACTATGAAGGTGCTAGATTCCAGCTGAGAAAAAGCTTAACTGAGGCCATGTGCATGTGACCAGCTTTGACCATATCTTACTCCTAGTTATAGTCTAAATAAAACAATTAGGCTTAGTCCTCAAAAGACTCGATCGTCACATGAGTACCAAACAACTCCCGAGAACAGTTTATTACTCCCTCCGTCCCATAATGTAAGACGTTTTTTGACAGTGTCAAAAAACGTCTTACATTATGGGACGAAGTGAGTAAAAGATAGCCGACGGTGTTTCTTAATGTTGAAATAAAAATTGTTTCGGTCCAGTCCAGGTGTTTCACAGAATTGTGATGTGGGACATCAGGTCTGCTACTGTATGAATGTGTGCCTTTCCCCATTTCAGAAGAGATGATACAGGTGTTCTCCCCTGTTTGCTGTAAAATGTTCTCCCCTGTTTATTTCTGAACCATTACTGTAAGCTGACCAAATTGCAGTGTATCAAGGGGGCTGTAACTCTTCAGTAGATAATTAGTAGTACTACTGTGCTAATCACGTGCTTTGAGAGGATATAAGAACCTGTATTCCCATCAGCTGATGCGAAATAATGATAAAAGAAGATTCAAGAAAAAGGAAAGGACACGAGTCGATTCGATCCGGACTGACACAGACCTTGATTCTCCACCCAAAAAAAGGAACTTTTTCTATTTAGTCAGTCAAGTCAGTCAGTGGCACGCGTGCAATCCGAATCGCGCCGAATGGAATGGAATATGCAGAAAAAATCCATCCAGCGCCGGTGATTCGGGAGATGGGGAAAGAAGAAGAAAAGAAGAGGAGAGGGAAGGGGGACCTTGAGCTTGGCGCGCTCGCGGATGAGGGTGAGGGAGGCGTCGATGACGCGGCTCTGGCCCCGCTCCAGCGCCTCCGTCGAGATCCTGGCCGCGCTCAGCCGCTGGATCCACCTGGCGGCGCCCGTCGCCGCCGCCGCGCCGCCCATCGCCGAGGAATCGTCGAGGGGTGGGACGGAGGACTGGAGGAGGAGGCGGAGACGGCGAGAGAAGGCAAGCGAGCGAAGCGGCTGCGGGGAACTGAGAAAGGAAGGAAGAGACGTGACGAAATGCCAAGCGAGTGAAGTGCACGATACCTGTTTTTCTACTAGAAGATTCATATGCCCTTTTAGATGTTCAGAGATTGCAAAACACTCGGCACAATATACAAGATGCATAGATAAGCGTGCCGAAATACTTCGGGCTCACGAGGTCTTAAGTTTAAGACCCGGCCAATCATGCTAGGATACATAGACCAAAGGCAGCGACAAGCCGATAAGTATGTTTTGCCGACTGGTTCTACCGCCACGGATGAGAACTGCGGACCATGAGAACGGTGTGTGATTGTCGTAGCGCTCTGAATTGAGATTTTGGTGGCCGGTGACATTCCTCCCTCAGTCACCGTCACGATGTACGATGGTGACCTTCATTGCTCGCAGTTCTTGGTGGCAAACTGGCTCCTCCTGTCGCCACTCGGTTGCATGCTTGTTTGAGCTTGGTCTTCACTTCCATCGCATCTCACGTCAAGATTGTGTTGCGCATGTAGTCGTTGGGGTCGTCACATTTTGACATTGATTTGGTGATGCTTCTCAAGTATTGACCTCAAGCTCTTGGATGAAAACCCGAGGTGGGACCTTAATTAGTTATATCTGGCAATTTTGATATTTTTGTGTCCTTGCCTTGCTGAAAGCAGTGTTTGAGTTTAAACAGACTTGATCTTTAGGGTAAAAACCCATGATTTGGCCTTCAGTGGTTAGATCTTACAAGGATGATACTTGAGAATTGTTTTTATATTTTTTGAAGACATTGTTGTTGAAGAAGCGGCCCATGGCGCAAAATGTTTTTTTACCGGTGCCAGGATTTACCGGTGTGCAATCCACCATCCGTTAGTTTTATCTTTCATCAAGATTCGTGCAGT